ACACAGGACTCCTTAAAAAGTATACTGAAAACTAATCAATTTCTTCAGAAGTAAGAATTTTCTCCAAGTTTCATAAAAATGGTCACTACAGGGGGAGATGAGCATATTTATAATACTTGGTCAGTTTCTCCCAAACTTTCTAGTCATTTCTTAATCCCATTGGAAGCACTCCAATAATGATTACTTCTCAAAATCCTATAAAGTGAATCTGACAGATTATTTAGCAGAAATCTACAATCTACCAGAGAGTGTAAGAATCATAAATGATACAAAAGAACCACACATTTGAATATGATGTTATAGAATAAAATACAATGATTATTTAAATAAACGAAGCTTACCTTCATTATTAAAATTTAAATACAGGAAGGGAGCACAAAGTGAGTCAAGACCTAGAGGTGGGGAACAGGAGGAAAATTCAGCAAATATAATTCAGTATAATTATAAATGTATGACCCGACTCGACGGCACTTAACAACAACAACAACAATCTTACTCACGTCTGAATAACCTCAACATAGACTAAGATTTACAAGTATTACCTACACAGAAATGTATTTCCCCATGAGCTATTGAAATCAGTAGGCAATTATGTTTGGCAACTAGAAGGTTCCCAATATAAATCATCTCTTATTGTTATCAAGATTGTGGAATGAAGGGAGAAGTACAATGATAAAGAAATAAAACCATTTAGAAGGTCTAGAACATAGTTCCATCTGTGAACCTAACTGTGTGATCTTGATAATCATTTTAAAATCTCAAAGCAAGATTTCTTATTTCACAGTTGAAGATGTATCATGTATATTTCTTTGAGACTAAGAAAAAATATTCTGAAAATTAAATTCAACCCATAAATTAATTCTTATGTTAATTCTTATATTAATAATAAGGCTGCTTATATGCTCTCATATTGAGAGAATGTACATATAATTGTGAGGAAGATACAGAACTTTTTAAAAATAGGCAGATGTAGTAAAAATAATAACCTCTTTTTAAGTTCAGTCAGTAAGAAATCATCAGAGAAATGAAATATAAGAACTGAGAGTAACATTAAAAAATGGGGCTGGATAGAATAGGTTTCTCATTTATAAATTTATCAATAACCAACCACAAAAACAATAATGGCAAAAGTTAAAAATCAAAGATCTGTACATTAAACATACTACAAAAATAAATAAATAAAATGAAAAATTGTACATGAAATCCTCTTCTTTAATTAAGAATGAGTGTGATGAGCATAAATTAATAAATCATTAAAAATTAAGGATCTCAACTAGCCAAAAATTACTTATGGTGTAAAATTATTTTAGTATTTCCTTAAATGTTGAAAAAGATTATTCACAAAAATTACAATAGCACTGACTACTCTTTTTACTTTCCTAATCAATGTAATAGTAAATTGTTAAATATCAAGCATATAAATTATATATACTAAATATTTAGAGCTTTCAAAAACATATCCTAAACCTGTCTAAAAAAAAAAAAAAAAAAAATGAACCATACCTTCAGTACTCTCTTTTTTCAAAATCAAAGATATTTTTATATTTCAATATTTAAAATTGTCAGTCATGTAACATTTTTTTTAATACTACTAAAGTCATAATAACTTTAAAAAAAAAAGTTACCTTGCCAATACACAAGATCAGGATGGGATACTACCCAGGCTTTCAATACACGCCTAAATTTGGCATGACCTTCTGGTGATGATAAAAGTTCATCATATTGATGACAGCGAGGAATATCCACTTCAATCTGTAAAATACGAATATAATATGGTGGACTGTAACAGAATGATCCCTTAAAAAGCCCAAGATAAGGAAAAGGAGATATACATTTCAGAAGAGATCACTTTCATAATTCTGGTGCTTAACATTTTTTAATTTTTTAATTAAATTGCTAGAAACACCAAAGAAGTCTTGTGTATACTTAAACAGGGCAAACAAAACATTTGTCTTTGAAAACGGTATGTCATTTGTCAATTTGTTGTACTGTGGTGGCTTATGTGTTACTGTGATGCTGGAAGCTATGTCGCAGGTATTTTAAATACCACCAGGGTCACCCATGGTTCAGCTTAGCTTTGATTCAAACAGTCTAGGAAGCAGAGGTGGATTACTTCTGAAAGCTGAGTCACTGAATACCTTATGAATAGCAGTGGAACACTGTCAGATACTGTACCAAAGATAAACACATTATGAACACCAGCAGAACATTGTCAGATGTAGTGCTGAAAGATGACTTCCTCAGGTTAGAAGACACTCAAAATATGACTGGGGAAGAACTGCCTCTTTAAGGACAAGTTGACCATTAATGATGTGAAAGGAGTAATGCTTTCATGACCTAAATTTGCTGATGGAGAACAACTCAAAATGAAGAAAAGCAGCTGCAAATATCTATCAATAATTGGATATAAATTTGGGAAATTTGAAACTTGTAAAAAATGAAAAAAGTACAGAAAGATGGATTTGTAGGCATTAGTGAGCTGAAATGGACTGGTACTGGCCATTCTAAATCAGACAATCATATGTTTTACTTTGCAGGGAATGGAAATTGAAGAGGAATGGCATCATATTAGCTGTCAAACTGAATATTTCAAGATTTATCTTCAAGTACAATGCTGTCTCTGATAGGATAGT